AAAGGAGGGGCAGTAGAAGCCCAGCCAAAACTGATCGTAATGAGCAGGGTTGACGGGAAAGTCGGAGCTGTGAAGTGGTATTTTGCAGCCATAAGTAGGCCGAAGCTTACCTTGTGAAGTAGTGGCCCATGCTAACCGAAAGGAATCCAGTATAGCTGAATTCCTTGTGATTTAAGGTAGAAAGGATGGAATTTAATACATAGTAGTGGGGAAGATGGTTGTCAAAAAAAGGTAGTTTAAAGTTATCTTTTGAGGAGCAATGAAAAATTGAAAGGAAAGCAAGATCCTTATTTGAATATCCTCGGCTACAAGGATGGTTCATGAAACTTCCGATGATTAGATGAATCGTTTTATCCTAGCACACTGTCACACCAAGATTACTGACTTTCTGGCCTGTGTTAGGAAGACGAACAAGCACAGGGCTTGAAAGGAATGCATTCGTTCCGTACTTTTTTCAAGGGCTAAATATTGTTCGAAAAAAACGGGGAAGGGAGGGAGGGGGGGTTTTTCTCTCTAAAAAATTGTTCCAAGAAACTGCATCCTGCAATATCCACATACTGAAAATTGAGCGGTTGCTCATGCCTACTTTTAGCAGTACTGACGGATGTGCGGCTAAGGAGGAAACCCCGACGTTTCAGGGTTCAAAAGTTGTAGAAACTGACCTCCTCCAACGAAATATGATCCCGTTCCACAATTCTCTCTTTGGCAACACATTGTGGTACGATGCAGCTCCAGACCTGATGCACCGTATCGTCCTTGTCCCAGCCCGCTTGCAGAAGTATCTCCGCATCCACAACAACATATTCTGCTTGGCTCTGTGCGATCCGTTTCCTCACTTCAGCGCGCAATGAAGGCCATACTATTTTGTTTAACATCTTCAGCTTTTCCTAAAAAGAGATATTCCAATTACAAGAGCATAGTTATCAGACAAAAGAGGAGCGTTTCGTGAAGCATTTGATGGAATTCCTAAGGGGTGGCAAAAGTGCTCGGCCAGCCGGTGTGAGGGTCCCGTGTCACTAGTGTTGCTGGGATGCTCCCTGTATGAGGAGTGTGGGTGTTTTAAGCATTTACTCCTGTGTTGCACACCTCCATTTGGTTCCTGCCAATATCCAGTGACCAGTAATGGTCAGTGTATTGGTCACTGAATATTTCATCTCGGACCAGAGGATTCAAAACGAGTGAAAAACTGGTTTTGAGGGGAAACTAGTGTACTCAATTTGTCATAGACTGAGCCTTTCTCCAGTATGCTTTTCAAATTAATCTTCTGAACGAGGGTAGGGAGACTTGCTAGCTTGTATCATTCAAAAATCTTAAGTCTTAAAAAGTACCTCATAAAGAAACAACAAAAAAGGGATTAAGTTTCAAAATTACCGTATTTTCATAAAGTTCCCTTACTAGCAGAAACGGGCCAATTTTACGCCCGCGAGCAAAGAAACTCATGAAAAGATGATAACCTTATCGGCAAAAACGATTCGTCCGAGTGCCTTCCGGTCCACCACACCATCCAGCATAACATTCGCGCCGAATGTTTCCGCAATTTTCGATGCCATATCGGTGCCTTTTCTGTACAGTTCATGAGCTAATTTATCACAGTCGATTACCTACAAAGACTATATTGAATTATATTATCAAAGACTATATTATCCCTTTTTAGAACTGTTACATTAAGGAGTTCGACGAATCGATTTCAGTAGCAGAGAGCCAACTTTTCCACAATTTCTTCATTCCTTTCGATGGTTAATTGTTACTGGCACATGCTAGAGAATCAAGAATTTTCTTTTCATTTTATTCTAAGGTAAAATTTGGAAGAAATTTTTAAGAGCTCAGCCAGACAATGATTACTGTTGTCAAGCGATATCATTTAAGCTACTTCTGATTGCCTCAGCCTCTAGAAGAAAGTAGGGTATGGAGGGGGTTCCATCTTTTGTTAAACATTTTAAATCTAAAAACGTAGAAAGCTGAAAAAAGAGCTTAATTTTGAGTTTAAAAGAAAGGAGGTTTTCGGAATAGAATTCGAAGTCCAATCCTTCTTACTGCGTCCTCTCACTCAGGTACGTAGCAAAATATTGAATTTTCATGATACTAAAAATCGCTATATTGGCCAAAAATAGGTGTGATGGCGAAATATGTAATCGAATGGACCAAGAAATGGTTGAGTTCAATTTATATTTCTTGAATTTTATTAAACAAACGAGCAAAATAATTAAAGAGAGCATGATTTTTCTCGGAAGTCGCATCAATGCTTACCTCACAATTATTTTGAGCAAGAAATTTTGCGGCACTCGTCTTCCCGGATGCAATACCACCAGTTAAACCGATTACAAAAGGTCGCGGGAACCTCTCGAGCTTCAACGGCTTCAGAAACGTCCCCAACAGGGCATGACGTCGTGTTGACGAGCTTAACTTAGTTTCTTTCAGTATTTCATCTTTGCCGCCAATTGTACTTATTGTTATCAAATCCAGGATCGGAAGATTCCTTTCCTGCAATAAAATGAAAAGTGAATCAAAAAGATATTACAGCAGTGGATGGTTCGAGTACAGACTGGTTAGTGAGATGAGAGAATTAAAGGGGAGGCTGGTACAACCAACACAGAAAAAAGGGAACGAGAAGTAAAAGTTGAAAAGAAAGACGGGGTATGGGAATGGACGGGCGGGGGGAGGGGGGTCGCAAGAAAAATATGAGGGAAATGAAGGAAGGCAAAGGGAGACAAGTGGAGGCAAAGGGAAATGAAATAACAGATGGAAGCCTCGGATGTGGAAGAAAAGGATTTTTTCCCGCTTTAAACTTTCATTATTTCCATTATTTTATTTGTATTGATTTTTTATTTGATTAAAAAACCGAGCTGTGGTGTAGTAAAAGCACTACAAATATTATGGATATTTTAGAGATATAAACAGTGAATATCCGTGATCAGGAGACTAGAGGAGGAAGATGGGCTTAAATCAACCGTGTATTAACATATGCAGTTGCAAATCCAAAGG